TCACATGCATTTCATTAGCATGTGCTTGACACACACACATATTGGTGTACCATACCACTTGATTTCCTCACTTGCAACAAAATACTTTGAAACTTTGTAGACTCACTTGCGGAAAACCATTTTAAACAATCAAACTATTGGTCTCTTCATGGCCACAACAAAGAACATTAATTTCTAACCTCTAAATATATGTACCTGCCTGTATAAATGTTATGGTTATATTTAACTTGCTCTTCATTCTTTTTCTTGTTGTCGTTAATGTCACTTATACATTTTAATTGCGTATTTTTTGGCACCACAAAATGGTGACCACCAACAAAGAACACTCTAAAAATTATTGTTGATCCATCGTCATAAAATATTTTCCAATGTAAACATATAAATCTAATCATCTACAAATGGTGAATTGACAACATACCTAGAACATTTCTTCCTAGAAATATTTCAACTCAAACTAACAAATTTTTTTGAAAATAGCCACAATGTAGTGAGACTTAGAAAATGGATATAAACATCACCCAACCAACAGAAGCCTAAAATCCGTGTGACCCCCACAAATTACAAATAGTAACTTAACAAAATAGGTGGATGATGGCGTGGAGGTGAAGTAAGTGACCTGAATAAATCAAATGATATTGGGAAAAGAATGAACCCTATGGGTTAAATAGTAGGGCAGACTGGGCTAGGGTGGAGAAAGCTACGGGAAAAATCCAGAATTTCACCAGGAAATCATGATAATTCACTGAAAGAAACGGAGTCTTGAAGAGACATAGCATAAAAAACGAAAAACAAACAAAAACTTTTCAAATTGTAAGGCAATCTTTAATTAAATTATTTAATAACTCTTTAATTTAATTTAATTATTGTACAAGTAATAGTTCGAAAATTAAAAAAAAATGTTCAGCGGTTTGAATTCATTAAGACAAAGCTAAACTAAACACATTAATGAACCAGGCGAGCTATGACACTCGTACTCCACGTGAGGCGATCAATGCGCAAAAGTAGTTTTTTTCGCTCTCTTTACACAAAAGAGTTCATCTTTACAGCTGACCAAAATAACAAATGGCGTTACACGTGAATGTGCAGGGTTACGACGAATTCAAGAAGGCTGCTGACGAACATGCTGACAAAAGCATTTTTGCTTTGTTCACTGGGAGTGCAGGGTCTGATGGTCGCAGCTGGTGTCCCGACTGTGTTACTGGTACTTTTATTATTTTTAATTCAAACCTTTTCTTCATTTTTTAAGTAGTCACAGTAGTGGAGTGGAGGTACTGCTTGAAATTTAAAAGAATTAAGTGGGTGTTTACCGGCGGCGATAATCTGTTTGGTTCAGTTAAGAGATGAAGAATGGCCACTAAGAACGGGGAAAAACTGTTTTTATTTCCTTTGTTTTTTTGTTTTTTTTTCCGATCACGTTGTTTAAGCATTCATAGCATTTTTACACTTTGAATAAAATTTATTTATGATTCTGAATTTCAAATCATACTGTGCAGCGATGATTATTTTTGTAATAATTTAGCAGAAAAACATAAAAATGTCTACAGGCCGGTATTCACTGTTAAAATAAAATAAATAAAAGCAGGTACCCACTTGACTAAATTTTTATAAAGTATCTCAAATAGAGATGTTTTAATGAGTGTCACTAAATTCCTTTTGAAATCACTTTTCCGGGAAAAAAAATCCTGATGTCCATTTCCTGAGGGAAAAGTCCCCCCCCCAGGAAATAGACATTAGCATTTGGGGGGTGGGGGGGATAGTCTCTTTCACTATGTGTCCGTCCTTTTCTTTCTTTGTATAATCTACCCTTCCCCAACGACATGTTATTTATTTATTTATTAAAATGCGTTATTTTTTATTTTATTTTATTTATTTTTTTAATGATTTAAAACAATAAAATACTTGTTTATTGTGTTGCGGGACTTAGATTCTGCAAAAGATGTTTCTAATCTTGTGTTCAGTATGCCATGGTCAGTAATGCTTCTACATGAAAATTGTGAATAATTTTCTTATCTGAACAATCGACTTTCACTCTCTCCCCAGTATCTTCCAGTTTAACGTCCGAAACTATTCACTTTTTTTTTTTTTTACTAAACTTTTTAATTTAGTTACTTTACTAACTAAAAAAACTACTTTAAACAATTTTTATTCAAGTTAACAGAACTGTTAAATTGCTTTTTTTTAGAGCTTTATCTACTTCATAGTTTAAAATAAATTTATTTCGTTAACGGTTATGACAACGACTATAAATTATCGGAGTGGGGATGTCACCGATATTGGTTCCCAAAAGCGTGTACTTAGAATATGAGGGTGGGTAAAGTAATCTAAAGAAGGTAATCAGCATTTTGGTATGCGAAAATCGGTAAATTGGAAAACCACCAAATTCTCAAATCAAATATAGTCCATTTATCCTTTTGGATTAGAAAAAGGGAATAAAAAACAATAGTAGAAATGAGTTTATACTATAGTTCATTAATTAAAGTTTTTAGCGTCAAAGAAATTTAAATTGACACACTGTTAGTGTTGTTTCTAAATTTACTTTTTCTCGATTCTTCACTCCAAATATCTGGTTTTATCCACCCCGCTTTTTTTTTGTTAACTCATCATCATTTGTATTTTAAGAGTTTTTCTTTCCAATTTATGTAAATTTTTATTGTTGAAAAATGAATAAAATTTAAAACTTTGGCATTAAAAAATGTTTTCAAAATTCAATTCTCTCTTTAAAAATAAAGAATACATAAAAAATGATAAAAAAAAATAACAAGTAGATAAAACCAACACAAAACATTGCCACTACTTCTATAACAATCTGACCTAATCCACAGGTGAGATTATAAAGCAGATTATAAGTTTGTGTCACCATTCATTTGAACAAGAGTAGAAGTCTCTTGCTTTTTGTTTAAGATTGGGATCCCGGTTCCTTCTTATTTTCTTTCACTCCCAGTAGCCCCTTGAATTGATTAATTAATAAAAAAAAACTGCACCAGAAAAATTTACCAAATAAATAATGTGGCATTTTCATGGCTATGTGAAGAAGACTGACACTTTTTTTTTTTTTTTTTTTTTAAAGATGATTAATTCTGAAATGTAATTTAAAAAAAAGTTTATTGAACCAATTGTTGTTTCACTTTCAATTAGATGGGCAGTCTAGTTAAAAAAACAAAAAAATTCCCTTGTTCAAAATGGTGTTGCTATTGGAAACCATGATGTCACCATCAGACAGTATTTAATCTAGACTGTGCCAAATTTTTGTGATGTAATAAAACCTTGATGCCCTTGCCAAGGCAATTTGTTACATAGTCTTCCATTGGTGGATAAATTATTTCAAATTCTTTGTTTTTATATCTTGCTTTTATATTTCTTCTATTGGAAGATAATCTCTACTTTGCTTGTCTAACAAAAAACATTCTATATGGACTCACATTATGTGGTTAAAACCAAAATTTGAGCTAATGAACCATAAAAATGCATTTAATATAATGTAAATGTTTCCTTTTTAGCAAAATTATGATTCTATTTAAAAGATAATAACCTAAATTTAATCTATAAAAAAAAAGAATTTTATGTATTTCAATAAGGCTTTTAAAAACATTCTTATGATCAATTTGCCATTTTAAATGAAAATGACAGAAAATTTAAGACATTTTAAAAAACTTTTAAAAATCAAATATCTATTCTTGTTTCAAAGAAAATTAGTAAAATTTATCAAATCTAATAATGTACAAATGTGACCAGTAAAATGTTTACAAAGCATTGGCACCTTCTTTCCTGATGTTTTAAAATAAGAAAACCCTGCCTCACCATTATTTTCTAAAAGCCTGAATAAAGCAATTACTGAACAGTAAGAGGTGTTGGTGGGGGGCAATCTCTAGTCCCCATGACTACAATTATTAACACAGAAAATCTTTTACCATTGTGTAACTTATATACACAATATCGAAGTAATATTGGTATTATACAACATTAATTTATTCAGTTTTGGAATTCAATTCAACAAATTCTACCATGTGAGTATGACTATTACTTTCAATGACAAAAAGAGAAGAAAAAATAGACTAATTAGTGTACAAGATTTGAAACTAGCAAATTAGTAGTTTGTGTCCATTTTTGTTTGCTTACCAACTCATTGGAGGCACTTTAGCTCCATGGTATGCTTTCATCAAACAACATTAGTTTGTAAATAAAACAACTCTTGCCAATTAAACAATTTTCTCTCACCAAATAATTTACTCAACTCTATTCAATGTGACCTTAGATATTTTTTTCCTTTTTGAAAATGTTGATTTGACAAGAACAAAATATTTAGAACTGTAGGAAAAAAAAAACTGACTTTTAAAAATTTCAGTTAAAAATGCTTCTTTTATTTAAGTTAAGCTTAAATTCTGGAATTTTAATTTGTGAGATTTAAAATAAAATTTTAATAAATTTACATGTTAGAGTATATACTGATAAAATTTTCCCATTTTGCAATCTTTTTTTATTTTTGTTAAAACTGATGATTGTTGAACAAAGCTAATTTTGGCACAAGGCCAGATTTATGAATCTATAATAGAGTGTTAATGTTATTTTGTAGCACTGAGAGAAAACTTTTTTAATGTTAAAACTATAGGCAATAAATTTCAAATGTTTGATAAATAAAACTACACTGAGAATTTACATTATAAAACAAAGCTCCATATTTTTCTTTCATTATAGTACTGCACATCATAACAATTTCTCTTTCATATGAAATATAAAAACGTATGTGTATATATATATATATATATATATATATATATATTTTTAAGGTGTGTTATATTTATGGTATAGTGCTCAGAGATAGAACATGTAAATATAAAAGTGAACATTGGAGTCAAAACTCAGAGACTTGTATCATCAGAAATATAGTAATTGAGTGTTGACTCCAATGTTCATATATATATTGCCTGAAATTCCAAAATGAGTGATTGACATATTTGTTATTCAGATTAATTTTCATCTTTGGTTTAATCACTATCTACTTATGGTCATATAGCACTGAAACACAGGTTCCTATATGATCACTGAAGTTAAGCAATGCCAAGCCTAATCAATATCTAGATGGGTGACCACTTGGGAATACCAGATGCTGTAAGCTTGGATGTTCAGGTGGTGTAATGAATAATTGCTTGGAATTGTTAATAGGAGAGCGAAGTTCCAATTCCAGTAAGGTTCATTATATTCACTTACATGCAAATACACTTGGGAAAGATATGAATCTACCTCTTCTTCCCCATCTATGGATTAATTAGTAAGACTTGTATCACTAAAATCATTATCTAAAAAAAATTAAAAATTCTTACAATCTAAATATTTCCTGGCTTTGAATAACCTGCAATGGGTTGATAAGCCATAAAAAATTAATGAATCAATTACTATATTTCTGATGATACAAGTCTTTTGTCTTGTATGTAAGTTATACAGTAGGGAGGGGGATCTTACAAATGATTGGAATTTTGTTGTCAGATTTGTGTAGACAGTCTTGATATTTTTGTTGGATATAGTCTGTTGGAATCTTTGTTATTCAGAATTATTGATAGTAAGAACCTTTCTCCACCTCCATCTGAAGGCTGAAGAATGTTTCAACCAAAACATTGATTATAAATTGTGGGATAATGCTATTAACACATTTTATGATTAACAGGAGTTAGTATTTTTGCTTACATTGTTTAACTTTAAATTAACAAACAAAGCTTTTATCTTACATGATTTTTTCAGTAGTAAAACAGACATTAAAGCAGTTTTAGTGAGCCTCCATGTTTAATGCTCAGTCAACCAAAAAGCAACAATTATTTTAGAGAGTGAGTAATCAGTGTTAGGCTTAATTTATCTTGCTTCTGTCTGAATTTCTGGGATGAGGAATTATTATTTACAGTTCGACTAAAGTCCTTCATCTTTTTTGTTATTATCACAAAGCTTTGTCAGCCCAGCTAACCATCAAGGAATTTCAAAGTAAACTCATTATTTAATCTATGGGAGTAAATTGTTTTTGCCCTGTTGCCCATGTCAAGGAATGTCTTGTTCTCTTTTTAGTATTGCTCAGTTATTGCTATCCCTGTTTCCACTAACCTGGCTCAGAGATTGATCTCACAATTCAATAACGTATTATTCGTTAAATGGATATGTTACATCAATTTTTTATACATAGTTACCTCTCTTGAATTGAGCTTTTTCTTACCCTTTGGATGTTTATTACAATTGATTTAAATCGTTAAATGTTGAGCAATTGCAGACCAATTTACTGAATGCTAGACTTTTGTGGCTTTGTGCTGGCTGTAAGGAATTGAGTTCTCTCCCTTTTCCCAAAGTGAAAGTTATGCAGTTAAGATGAAAAGTAGTTTACGGTTCTTACTCGACTTCATTTAAAAAGAAATGTTTCATTCAATATTAAAATATGATCAGATATTTTTTTTTTTTCCCGATTTGAACAAAATCCATGACATTTCTAATCTTTTGATGTTAGTGCAAACTGTGGTTATAATTGTTAGTAAAAATTAATATTTTTGGCAATTGTGAGTGGGTTAATTATTAACTAAAGCATTCTTTGTCATCTTAACCTTTTAAAGATCAACTTGAAGATAAAACTACCCTTTCATGTCATTTGTTTGTACAAAGCCAACAACAAAACTATATTTTTATATTTCTAAAAATCACAAAAACCTGACACAGATTTAAAAATTATTTTAAGCAAATGCCACTAAGTTGGATAAGATATAAGATACATGCTGCTAGATATAAAGTGTAACACCTCTTGCCAGTCAGTCTCTTGACAATGCTGCCATTGGAATTGTTTGTTCTGATCTGCATCTTGCTCCACCCCATGTTGTGTTGATTGATTATGGAGCTGGCAAAGATCAAGTTGTCATCAGTATTTGTAGTCCTGGTTTGATCTCGGCAAAGCTATGTCACAGAGGAAAAATAAAAAAAACATTCTTGCAGACAAAATAAAGAAAAGGCAGGAATTTCTTCAGAGTCCACTTCTATGGGGTTTATATCATTCTTTGTACAGAAATATTCACCTTTCCCACTTTGAATTCTATCATGGCACTTTGCTCAATTTAGCTATGTCTAGAACAAGGCTTAAGTTGGAGGTTGTCTCTGGTAGTAAGTGACATTGGATTTGGCAGAATAGTCTTCTCTCGTCATCTGCACTCTGGAACTGGTGGCTTCAGTGTTCTGCTTATATTGACTTTCACCAAAAACTGGAATGGGGGTTGACATGGTTAGGGGACCCATGTTTATCCTATCTTCCAACAAGTGCCCTTTGTTGTCTGGCTCTGGAAAATTAATTATATTTCCAAATTTGATCAGATCCCTTTTCCTATAGGCAGCAGCCACAGGTATCAATCCACCCTGATAACCCCTTTCCTTCTCTTATTTGTGCCTTATACGAATACCTCCCAATGGGCATAGGCAATTCCTCCACCTGTCTTGGGATTTCACCTACACCTGTCACCTTGGTTGTCCTTTTCACAAATCTGGTTCTCAAATTGTGGTATTGCTTAGTTTCTGGTCATTAATTAGAATTACCATTTTAGTTTCTTGTCAACAAATCTTTCCCAGCTTGGTCTTGTTTATACAATCAGAAATTTACCAGCTGTTTTTCTCTGGCCAGCTTATCTCCACATCTTTTCAGAGTCATCACACTTTAAGAACCCAGGGTTGGGTCCTTACATAAAGACGTTCTATTTTCTTGATTTGTTTACAATTTCCACTTTTTGTTAGGTTAAATTAATCAGTTTTTTAATTCTGCCTTGTCTTTAAAAATTACCAAATATTATTTCTTCAATCAGCTTCCTTTCCCCGGCTGATTCCTAGGAGCTTTTTTCTCAACTCCCACTTTAAGGCAGTGCCATCAATTGTCAGCCTAGCTTTACCAGATGGCCTCTCTGGTAATATCTTTCCAACAAAGTCACCTTCTTCAAGCTGTCTCTGCTTTTTTTCTTTTTAAAAAAAATAAAAATAAAAAGAGAGACTTTTAAAATTAAAAGAAATCTCAATTTTTTTCTCTCAGTCTGTTGTTCCATTCTTTAACCCTTTCATTTAGTTCCAAGTTATATTTTAGTTTTAACCCTTTTCTTTCCCTTTGCCAGTGTCACAAAAGGATAAAATTACGTTTATTTGATGTTATAGTTTTATGTAATATTTGCTCAAGCATACATGGACACACAACTATCTGTATAATTTTGAGCAAACATAAATTTTGATGCTTTATATATTAGATGACTGTTCCCTCCCACCCTATATATATCATATGACTTCTCCCACAACATACAATTTTTCCTTTGACCAACAGTCAAAATAGGTTTTTTTAACCAGAAGTAATAAATTTCTTCCTAACTTGATATTTAAAAAAAATTCTGAATGACTGAAGGTGGTTTTATTATTTTCTATGTTTATGTTATTTGAATTTGACTGAACCTTAGATGCACAAACATTCTTAAATATTTTAAACAAATAGCAAAAAAAAATAAGAATAAAAACAAAAAACAAATTTATTTTGTTAATATTTTTACAAACTCCAGATATTCTAGGTCACATCTAGATAACAAATTTATCTTAATGCCTTTTTATATTTACTAACTGTTTATACAATTAATTTCAGGACTTATCATGCAAATAAATGTGAAAAATTTAATTTACTTGAATTTTAGTGAAGTAGTAAATTCTGGGGCACAGGAAAAACAAATTCAAACTTGTATTTTTATACCAATTGTATTTGAAGCAGTCTTGAGTATTTTGTTTATGTTTTGTCTTTTTATCGCTACCCACTAACTTTATAGTTACTCTAGCATTTCATTTCTTAGCTTTTAGTCATTTTCATCACTAATATAGTAAAACATTTGGGTTGTAAGGGAATAAGTGATTAGGCACCAATTGTACAGTTTAGATGTAAAATTTGTTTGTGCAAATTTTGGTAAGTAAAGATTTTCATGTATCAAGAATTAATGCAATAATTACTTACATTATATGGCTATTAATAATGAATTTTCTATAGAAATGTATTGAAAATCCTGAAGAAACCGTCTGGTGAGAAATGAATGCAATCCTTATTTATAGGGTAATGTAAAGGTATTGCAGATAACTTTTCTTTTTTTTTTTTTTTTTTTTTTTTTGAAAGATGTTGCAAATCAAAAGGGGAAACATGATTGTCACTAGTGAGGAATTAAAGTGATCCTTACTGATGGGATTGTTTTATTTCTAATATAAATGTATTAATGATTTTACTATAGAAATGTATTGAAAATAAATCTTAAAGAAAGTGATTGTCATTGATGAGGTATTAATACAATCATTACTGACAAAAAGATATTTCTATAATGAAAATGTATTTCAAATAATTTTATTTGATAGACATTTCAAATTAGGTGTTAGGGATTGTTAGGAATTAAGACAAATGTTACTGACAGAATATCACTATTTTCTTTTTCTATAATAGAAATAGCAAAAACTGGTGTTATATATATTTTTCAGTCATGCAAGCTAATCTTCATTTCTTCATAATGAAATGTTTTATAGTAAAAAGATTTATATTAAATTTATATCTCAATAGGGGTGGTCAGGCTGCTAATACAATGGTTTTATTTTGTGTTACCTTCTTTTAGAATTTTTTTATTTTAATGGCTTAAAAAGCAGAAAATATAACTAGTTCTATTTCAAAATTATTTAAATATAGCCATCATTTTCTGATGGCATAAGTAAACTAGTATTTATAAATTATTTGTAAATTATTTTAGTATTGGAAAGCATTTCAAATATCAAAGGGAAGAAAAAAATTATCAATGTCAATAAATTTATGCAACTATTATTAATACAATAAAGCCCTCTATGTAGCAACTATGCTTGTTCATATCTATTGAATATATAACACTTTCTGTATTATTTACATGCAGAACATTTGTTATCACAATGTTTCAGTCATTGTGCCCTCGGGCCTTCAGGTGCTTGTTCATCTAGGTAACATTCAGAGAATTAACCCTATATTTAATTTATGGGTTAGATTGTTCTCACCGATCATATCTAGTTCTTATTTAGTACTGTTCAGTTATTGCTCACCCCCATTTCTGAGTACACACTGCTTCACAGGGATTGCTCT